GCCCCACCTGCCACCAGGACCTGGACGAGTGCCAGCTGGGTGAGGCGCCCATCCGGTCCTCTCTGAGCCCCAGGGCAGCCGCTGCCCAGGAGACAGGCCAATCGCTTTCCACACTAAAAGCATAAACAGCTCTTTTCCCTGCATCTGTCCAGGCTGGGCACCTCTTCCCCACCTGGTCTTCTCCCCACGCCGCCCTCCTCCGCCTTAAAGGCACTGCCCTTTCCTGACGTGGTCTCCTCTGCCTCACTCGGCCCCGGCCCCCAGCGCTGGCTGCCCGGCCGTCCACCCTGGGCCCCTGTGGACGCGGCTCTTCCCTCCTCCCAGCCCAGCAAGGCCTGGGGCTCTGTGAACACGGCGGCTCCTGCCTCAACACCCCCGGCTCCTTCGACTGCCTCTGTCCGCCTGGCTACACGGGCTCCCGCTGCGAGGCCGACCACAATGAGTGCCTGTCCCAGCCCTGCCGCCCGGGCAGCACCTGCCTGGACCTGCTCGCCAGCTTCCACTGCCTCTGCCCCCCAGGTACCGGCGGGCGGAGCCTGGGGTAGAGGACAGGGCTGATCCCCCCCACACACAGACCCTCTCGCCTCGAGAGCGAGGAGAGCCTGGGGCCAGCTGTCCGCCACTGAGAACCTCCTCCTGCCCCCACCCCATGAAAACCTGGGCCAGACGGCAGAGGCTGTGCACTGCTCGGCTCCGGGGGAGGCGCATTCGTTTCAGTCCTCGCAGCGTGTGCCGCCTGGTCCCGCACTCAGGCCCGTCACGGGGAGCAGAACAGCCGTTCCCAAACGTCATGCCAGCCCAGAATGCGCCTCCTGCCAGAGACGCTCCTCCGTAGAGCTCGGCAGTAAAGCCCTCGGAGCGCTGTGGCCTGAATTTGGTGCAACAGGAAGGGGACGCTGCAAGGCGGCCCCAGCTCCGCTAGCCTCCCGGGAGCTCATGTCCGGTGCCCGGGAGTGGGAAGAAACGGAACGAGAATAGCTTGCCCTGTGCCGGGTGCTGCCTGAGCCCGTTACGCGCACCATCTAAGTCTTACAATAACCCACGGGGTCAGCGCCGTCACCCTGCCCGCTTGACAAATGCAGGAACGGAAGCACAGAGGCTGTGACCTGCCCGAGGTCAGCGGCTTGTAAGGGCAGAGCCAGGACGCAAGCCCAGGCTTCGGTCTGTCAGCCACTCCCGGCACCTCCGGCCCCCCTCAAGCTGAGCGGCTCCCGGGAACCTGCTGAGGAAACGTCCAGCATCCGAGGGACCAGGCTGGGGCATGAGGAGCTGCAGAAGCAGGCTCCAGGCAGGAGGGGAGGCAGCGGGTCCAAGGCTGGCCCCGCCGTGGTGCAGGGCGAGACAGGGGAGGCCCGGGCAGCCCGAGGAACAGGACCCGTCTGGACCGACGAGGTGGAAGGGCAGGTCCCTAGAGGCCCCGTTGGGGAGCCGGTCTCCCTGGCACAGAGCCTGCCCGGGTAGAACAACGCGGAGCCTCCCAGCAGATGCCCACTTGTCTCACTTGCCCTTCGGGGCCTCTAGGCTCATCAGCCTGCCCTCTGGGCACAGAGGAAAGGCCCCCAAAGGCACGTCCTCACAGCCCTCCCACAGCCCAGGCGCCTGCTCCTGGGCTTTCTCCCGAGTTCATCCCTGCAGCCCGCAGGCACACGGCGGCCTGGTTGGGCAGCCTGGGGCTGGGGCAGGCCGGCTCTAGAACCCGGGCCTCCTGGGCAGCAGGCCTGGCTGCCCCCAGCCCTCACGGCAGCT